TTCTCGGTCTCCTGTTCACATGCAGTGGTGACTTGTGCAGAATGGCAGGTTGCAAGAGCTGGAGCACTGCTTGCAGCTGGAGAGGCTCTTGGTATTGTATCTGATGAGAGAGCAGCTGTCCCATGGCAGACTGAAGATTCACCTCCTGCAGCCTCTTGTGGCCAAAACTAGAATTTAGGGAACAGAGAACTACACACAGTGATACTTCTCTGGTAAGGTCTTCTAATGTCCTATGGGCCAGGGGCTTCCTGAGCAGCAAGAAATAGCTTGGTGGATGGAGTCCTGTCCTATGCTGGTCAGTGCAACTGTGGACTCAGTTTGGGCTGTTGGCCTCCACTGGGTCTGTGTTTCTGGGGCTTGTCTGTAACCTTTTCTGATCCTCTTTTCTTTGGGGTGAGGGATTTCAGGCAGCATGATTGCTTCTTCTGCTAAGGCCCTTCTGGTTCCCCTCCACATTCCTGCGTGTTTGCCAAAGAGAGTGTGGAGAAAGCAGTGGCGTTTAACTTGCACCTATTTTATAGGCCCTACTCCTCTCTCTGCTTCAGTCAGCTCCCATATTTCCACCATGCTGTGTTTTGCACTGTGCTGCTGGGCAGGTGGAGGCCTGGCTTCAGCTTTTCCTGGGTAAGCACAATGTCCAAAAGCCCAGAGCGGCTGCAGGCTGCCTGGTATGTGGATGCCTGCAGTCTGATCAGAAAAGCTCAGTGCTCGCATTATGTAAATCCCTTGGCTTTGGCTAGCAGAGGACTATCAGGGCATGGAGAGTGACATCATTTGGAAAAAGAGCTGCTGACAGCAATGGAGAAGCATCCCTGCTCTCCCACAGGCAGGGTCTGCTCCAGCTCAGTCTGCAGGTGCTGCCCTGTAGATCTGAATAGTTCTAGGTGAAGTGCTAGTGTGCAGTCTGCATGGCTCCCCCACCCTCTTTGTATGGATGCAGATAATGATAGTGCTGCAGCGGCTGTGGTCTGTTCATTCAACTTTGTCACCCAGAGATCATTTCCTTGTAACGTACACATTGTTTATACTGCCCTGATTTGGCTTTTACAAAGAAAGGCGACAAATGTCTGCAGTAGAAAGAGGTCACTGCTGTGATTCTGCATGCAGCTTCACCCACACATTGCTAGTGATCATTGCTGAGAGCTGCAGAGAAATAGGATGCAAGATGACTGCACTGTTGTGTGAAACCTTCAGCTCAGTAATGCTGAAATGCTATCAGACACCTTCTGCTCTAAAACCAACACAACACTCTCAGGATCACCATTCTGCTCCTTTATTCCTCCGTGAACACTACTAGAGCAAGCAGCAGTTAAGCACAAGCAGGCAGCCTTCACTAGAGGAGATCTTTTTCCCCCTGCAAGCTGCCAAAGTGGACTCCTTAGCTCCGGCGATAGACTGAATGAGACTGCAGTTCCCCCATCAGTTTCATAATATTCAGAAAGCTTCCATTTACATCACTGTGTGCAGTGCAGGGCAGCAGCTGCCAGGAAATTTGAAACTATTTCGATTCCAGTTGACTAGAACAGCAGCAATTGAATTAGCTGGTATCGCTATAGATAAACTGATGATCTGTGCATTTTATTTCTTTGACCAATGGGTAACTGCTGGAGCTACAGTAACCTCTGTGAGTAAGGAGACTGTTCAAGCAAATATATCTGATTTCTCTTCCTAGCTAATATATATATATATATATACATATACATATATATATAAATTATGTATAGAGAGAGACACTCACACCATTCTTTTGTAAAATGTACCTGTGAACAGAATGTCTGTCTATGCTTGTAACTTGTATTTTTCTTCCTAGAATTTCCTTCTATTATGCTGCAGACAAGCTTGATTGAATTGGAGTGGTTATTTATCTGTGAAATATCATATCTATGCCTGATGTAAGTCATGAATTCTTTCAGTCTCTAGTCATCAGAAAGGCTGCCAGTTGCTGTTAGATTATATTCGCCCGGTCTCTGTTTTCTAGCCACTCGCCCCCATGGTATTTTAGCCTTTTCTCTCATTGTAATTTTGCTCTGTTGAAAGAAGCTGCTTTCAATGCAAAGTAGAAATCGGTGTTACCTGATTATGTCCTTTCATTGTTTGTTTGGTGGTGGGTGTTTTTTTTTTCCCTGCGCATCTTCAGTGCAGTCCTTAAATTTTGTTGTTGCTTTTCTAGTCTTGTTTGTAATGCAGTCATATTGGGGGATGGGATTAGACAGGATATGCCAGTAGCTGCAGCAAGACATGATGCTGTGGTGGTGGATGGGAATAAGGGAGGAGTTTCCCTTAAAGAGCTCAGCTTGCTCCAGACACTGGCACCTGAAGAGATGTGCTGAGCAGTGGGAAGGGTTTTGCCTCTTGCAGGTGCAGGTGGTGCTGCTGTCCATATGGAGCAGAGACTGTGGCAGTGTTGTGTGTGGCTCTACTTCATGCAGTGGGAACAGGCTGTTGCTTTGGTGCCACATATGAACTTTTTCCATTCATCTCTGAATGATATAATGTTTCTCCAGGATGCTGTGAAAGCAAGAAACCCGTTTGTTTGTGGTCACACTGCAGTGCAGAAGTCCTGCCAAAGCTTTGCTGCTGTAGACATCATGTAGAAAATGCCTTAATTTTATACTGTGGAAGTGCTTCACTCTTGCCCACATGAAACACTTGCAGCTTGCGTGTTCTCAGAGAGGCATGCCATGCTCCTTCCCCATGTGTCTCTGTGCCTGCATAGATACCTGCCTGTTCTACGTGCCTGGCTTTTCCTGAGTGTACTGAGGTTGCTGGAGGGTAATATTTGATTGGGAGTAGCTTATGGAAAACATTTTGGAGGAAAGCAAACCGGAAACTTTCTTGAGACTGCTTTCTGCTGTGTGCAGCAGCCACCGGCGATAGAGGAGGCATGCAGCAATGTGTTCACCATTCAGGGCTAGAAATAAGGCTGCTTCTGTTTCCGTCAGCTCGGTTCAGAAGCTAAGATAACAATTAACAGAGACGAGTCTGGCCGCTTGGCATAAGCTGTATGTGGGGCTTTGTTGGAGATTGGCCTTCAATATGCATTGGCTGCATCTCAGCTCCATGGAGGTCTGGGGGGTGATGCACCGGGCTCATTTCAACTGTTGGGAGCCTTTTGCTGGCTTGAGGTTGAGCTAGTGCTGGTGCAAGTATGAAAGCTCTGCAACCACACAGCATTGTTCTTTTCATGTCTTTTCCTGGCAGAAGCATGTCCAAACGGTGACCTGGTGCCGGTGCCGTAAAACAGACAGAGAATGCATCCCCGGTGTGGTTGTGCAGCTGAAACTGTGTGCAGTGGGTGCTGTTTGTCTGGAGCTCCCAGAAAAGGCACTACATCTAGAAGTGCTCATCTTGGGGCAGGAGACTTCGCTGTCTTGTTACTCCTCCAGTGCAACTGTGAGCTGAAAACCCTGCGATGGAGCCAGACTAGCAGTGTGGTGTCGACAAATTTCTGCACTTCACAGCCATGTGGGATCTTACTGTTTGGTCTGAGGCTGCGTGAATCTTGTAGCAGAGATCCTTACTTGGCCCAGACACTGTCCTCAGTGGCAGCCCAGTCATCTTGATGAAATCTGACACACTGAAGTTTTATTCTGGAGTGAATAAATCAAGGGTGCAGAGATACCAGAGAACCTACAAGGAAAGAAACTGTGTCTTGGCACAGCCTGAGTCTGTCAGTTTGATCCAGGGCATGCTCACCTCAAGCGCAGTATTGCAGTATTAACCCTGTGGTTAGAGCTACTGTCTTGTTAGCTGCCAGGTATGGGCTGCTTCATCTTGTCTTGTCTGTGTATCTACCACTGGCAGATACATAGCCACACTTGTGTGATGCTGAACTCGCATTAAATTATCTTCCCTCTTACCTTGAACTCAGCCTGTCATTACACAGATATGTGAGTTTCTTCTCAGCAGTGGCTTGTGGCCAGGTTGGAGCGGCAGCAGCCATGTGTTTGTAGAACAGCACCCAGAGATACACCTCAAACAGGGCAAAGCATCCAAGTGCAAGTGGATAACTGGTTTCAGAGATGTCCCTTGTAATGTTTTTCAGAGTAGTGTTTGGATCTAGTCTCGTTATTTGGTTTAAAGCAATTTAAACCTCAGGCCAGGCCTTTCTCTAAGTTTACAGTGAACACAGCTGCAGCTGCTTTTTCTGAAAGCTCATCTCCTCCTTGGACCATGATGTCAGGTGGCCAGATAGGCATCAGTGTGCCATCCATGCTGATTCATCCTCGCTGTGAGAACAACTGGATCTGTATTACCCAAGAACAATAGGGGCCACTGGGTACTCGGCTCCTTTGAAAATGCCACCGATTGTTTTCTCTCCCTCTTTGTTTACTACATTGGTTTGAGAAGCAGCATGAGGAGAGAGTGCTAGCAGGCTTTTTGTGAAGCAGTGAATTTACTTTTTCAAAGAGAAAATGAGAGCTACTTGGTATGCATGCATTTGTGTAACAAGACGTTCAGTTGCCTGAGTTGCTAAAGCAGGAGGGTGGTACTGGCAGAAAGTTGAATTACCATGTAATTTACATAAATGGTTTTGTAATATTTACTATGAGGTGTGGCTGATTACCTTCCTTGTGTTTTATCTTAATAAGTGAAAATTACCTAGAAGTAATTTTTAAGTAAAAACTGATGTGCGTATGACACATGCTGTGGATGGATGTTGAACCTCTGAATGTCTGCTTTCTTCAATTTTGCATTTGGCATGTGGCCTTAGATATTCATGGGCCACTGGGACCCTTTCCGAAGTGTAGCAGACATTTTTGGCATTCCTTCCTCAGCAGTACACACTTCCAAAGTAGGGCTGCCCAAAAACTCCTTTGTAAGAAGAATCAGTTGTGGATAACAGCAGTGTGAGCACGCAGAAGTGAGTTAAACAGAGTGGTGTTTTCCCTTCAGGAGTGAACGCAGTTGCTCTGTTATGAAAAAGCTGGGAGGGGAGGTTAGGCTTTTTGCTTATGTGTATACTAGGTAAATCCATACTCTATTTTCTTTTTTTGCAGGTAGTGGCCATGGAAGTAATACTTTGCTGCCCCACACCATCATCAATGAATTTCCAGAATACGGCACTATGGAGGCAAGCAGAGATGCACTGAGGACTTCATCAAAGAGCCAGGCAGAGCCTGTGACTTGCAGTCCAGAAGAACGGGACCGTTACCACATACCTGGCAGGCCTCCTCCCCAGTCTGTGGCTTCTGCAGATGAGCCTAGAGCTCAGGTTAAGGCAGCACAGCTGCACACTGCAGAAGAAGGTTTGCAACCTGTGGGTAACTTGCCAGAGATTATGAAAATTTCTCAACAGCTAGAAGCAACAAAAGTACAACATAGAGCAAATACTTCTCTTGATTCAGAGACGCACATGGAAGAAAAGAGTGTTCCTGGCTGCCAAAATGTGCAGACAGCCAGAGAACCAGTTGCAGCAGGCCAAGAAAAACCCTCAGACATGCCTCTTCCATCTAAGCAAACAGCTGAGGATAAAATGCACTTGATCATAGAGAAAGATCTGGATACAATATGGACTGGTGAAAAGCAGTCTGAGTCCTTGCGAGCCACCAGTAATAAAGCTGAGGAGGTCCACACAGCAGAGGAGACAAGTTGTCATAGACCATCTGTGACAAACCTGGAAGCGGCCAGCACAGTGGAGGAGTGGGTGCAATCTGAGGAGTTTTCAGCTTACAGTCAAGGCAGAATGAAAATGGGTCCTGAGAGGAGGCTCTCTAAAGAGGCAGCTGTGAGCAAACATGTAGAATTTCAAGGGGTGGAGATTTTATGGCTGCAGAAAGCAGAGGACCAGAGCAGAAAGAAGCATTCAGTGCTGGAGACCACATCTGTGGAGAGAAAAGCGTTCCCCAAAACATCGAGCCACTCTGTGCCACTGATGATTGCCTCCAGCTTGGTCACCTTGCCAGACAGTGCTAAGTGTGAAGTCTGGGAAGAGCCTGGGGTGGGAGCTGCCCGTGGAGCTGCTCCTCTGGCACTGCTTGATGAAACTGGGGAGGATGAAGTTTTTGTGAAGGACAAGAGGAACCGCAGCAAGGAGGAGACCACTGTGCTAGCGAGAGATCATGGCAGGTGAGATGGTGCCTGAGTGGTATGTGGGGGGAAGGATGAGTGTCTCTCTTTGCAAGCATGGGACTTGTGTCTGCCCATTTGGGAACAAACCATTTGGTTTGCCATCAGCAGCATTTTTCATTTGTCTTCTGCCTGCAGCATGGTGGAAACAGTAATGTTTAGTGTACGGTCATGGGCAGTGCCAGAAGTTAGCTGAACCCAGTCCACACCACAATGCTGGAGTTGGAAATGAGGCTCAGATTTGGAAGCGTGGAATTGTCTTTTGCAATCTGGTAATGATTGTGTGATGAAGAAACTGCGGCATATCATTAAATTTAGGCACTGCATAGGTCTGCCCACATGTACCCTGCTAGACGTTTTGGTTTTGAGCCAAGCACATGGAAGAGTAGTATGGGCCATTCTTTGTAAGGGTGTCCTGATTTGATTGCTCTTCCTTACTGACTGTGTGATGGAATGACAGGTGCACCAGTGTCTGTGAACCAGTCAGCATGTGTCCCTTTGGGTCCCTGAGCACTTTGCTCTGGTTAGTGCTAGAGCCATTTCAGCCCTGATGGCACTGAACACTTGAAATCCGCCCCTAGGTCTCAGGCCCTTACAGCCACATGAGGGCACGCAAGTCTCATCATGAGGCGTGTCAAAAATTGCTGGATTGTCTCAAATGGGGGAAAGCTTGAAAAAATAACCAGGGTGCACTCTTCCTACCTGATGCTGTGTGAGCTGTGGTCTTGCAGGATTCAGCCCAGGATCTTGCTTGCTTCACAGTTTTGAGAGGCTTCCTCCAGGCCAACAGAGTGCCCACCTGGGCTTGTGGCTCCAGCTTGTCTCAAGCATGGCCAGTGAGAGTGGTACTAGTGGAGAGCTTGTGAATTTCTGAGTGGAGAAACTGACATTACCTTACATTAGGCAGTACATAGTGCTTCCCCTCCTGCCTCTTGCCCATCAGATTGAATCTCACATCCCCCAGACTGTAACAAAGCAGAGAGGGAGATAGTGCTGTTGGAAGTGGAGGCAGCATGAGGAGAGAAGCTAGTGTGTTGTCCACTGAATGCTCTCCTGTACAAAGCACAGACCTTTCTTTTCTCAAAGGTCAGGAATGAGGAGGTCTTCTCAGTAGTCCAACCTTAGCTGCCAAACTGAAACAAGCTGTTTGTGATTCATTTCTAGAATCATGGAGGAGGGAAAAGCAACCATGGGAGGATATGAAGATGTGGTTGGACAAAGGCAATCTGACGTCTCCACCGATCTGTACAGCTCGCAGTTTGAAAACATCCTAGACAATACCTCTTTATACTATAGTGCAGAGTCTTTGGAGACATTATACTCGGAGCCTGATAGCTACTTCAGTTTTGAGATGCCACTCACTCCAATGATCCAGCAGCGTATGAAGGAGGGCAGTCAGTTTTTGGAGCGGACTTCAGCCTCAGGACAGATGGATGTCTTTCATCTTCCCCCTGATGGGGAAGCAAAGAGCTGCTGTGAAGAGATCGCCAATGGCTTAAGGAATGTAAGCGAAGCACTCTTCAGAGGAGATGTCACAGAAGTTCCTCATTTGGGAAGGTAAAAATAGTGGATGGGCTTTCTGTGTTTGTACTTAATTTTTCTTAATCCTTGTATACTTCAGCACACCATTTCAGAGTGTAATTATGATCCTGCACACTGCGTGCTTCATACACTAACTGATTTCTAGTGTAATAAAGTGAGCTGTAGAAGAGAAAAGAGCCATCCAAACCACTGTTTATTAGGAAGTACAGATGTGCAAATTTTTGTAGGTTTCTCTGTGATGCCTGCAATAAGAAAAAGGATTAGTTGTGTTGTAGCATCTCTGGGATCTGTCACAGAGAAGTTAGTGACCCAATACAGATGAATGTTCTTGTTTTCACTTACATCTGAATTTACCAGCAGCAATTGTAGGAAAAGTAAAATCCTCTGCACTCTGAGTTGTCCAAGCGAACCCATGATCTGAATGTTAAAGTTGTGTCTCTCTTTTCCTCTCGAGATCAGCAAGACTTTTTCCAGTTATTTCTGTTGAGACGAGGCTTGGCTCCCACTTTGCCCTAGTTAAGTGCACTAGTTGGCTGATTGTCTTAACTAGTGCACTAGAAACTGACTGAGAAAGGATTGTTGCAAAAACTTTGAAGATTCAGGCAAAGGGAGAGACAATTAAGAAGAGAGTTATGGGAGAAGCAAACACTGGGCTAAGTAATCAAAAAATTCTGTAAGTTTATGCAAACTCGCACCATGAGAAACTTTCCTCATAAGGTGTTGTCAAAGAGAAATGGGGAGATGGACAGGTCACAGCACAAGGATACAGCCAAAAGCAGTGGAGGAGTGAGAGATCTTGCAAGTGACAAAGGTGCCTTGAGTCTCTTTCTTCCAGAGACAGGACATTATGTTAGTAAACCTTAGACTATTTCCTTAGATGGGACTGTATAGTCTGAGCTTTCCTGGGCATTTGTAGCAGAAGGTGTTTTATGTGTTTAGACCTTTTGTTTGCAAGTGTAAACTATTCATTGAGCAGAGGTGGTTTTGTCAGCTTCATGAGGAGCTTAGAGTTAGAAACTGAGGTAAGTCCTGACACTTGCAGCTCCTTCCACTGAAACCTGCAATTGCTGTAAGACTGTGGAGTAGTGGAAGACGAGCAGTGTGTGCACTCTGTTACTCCATCATTGTTGCCTTAGGTGACCCTCATGCTTAAAAGTGTCCTCAGGTAAGGTTCACACGGGCTTATCAAGACAGCATGAGGATGAAGTGAGCTCAGGCAGAGCTTGGGAACGTGCTGATTGCCCACCTAGTGTGGATTTCATTAGGAATTAAGTTCATTTGAGTTTAAATTTGCAGTGATAGAGAAATACTAACAGAAGCTTTTTAAGGAGCTTCTCTCCTTACTAATAAAACAAACATTTTCACAGAAGTGTGTTTTAGACCAAGTGCTGTTGCCATCTGCATGACTCTGTTAGGTACAAAGCCTGAGAGTTTGCTTTCTTATGGTGGGTATGCATAAAAGAATGTAGTTGCAGCAGAGCAGCCAGCCACAGATGTGCCCAAATCGGTGATTCTCCAGACAATAGTTTAATTAACCGCCCCCCACTATGATAGTCTAAAATTGTACTGTTTTATACCGGGGCACAGATGGCTGGTAAATCATGTATGCTATAGCATTGAAGCCACAGAAGAACTGTGGTGTTGCAGCATGCTATTGAGGAGTGAAGTTTGAGTGCTGAAGGTTGCATAGGGTTTATTTAGGTGATTTGTCAAGATGGAACATTACTGTAATGCTCAGGTGAACCAGACACAGCTGACAAGCGAACTGCCCCATCCCGGTCGGTGCCCGCCTGCAGTGCGGCGCGGAGCCGCCGGAGGTCCCCGCGTCCTGCGCCCTGCAGCGGGGCGAGCGAGGGGTGGGCGGAGCAAGCGGGGGGTGGGCGGAGCAAGCGGGGGGTGGGCGGGGGCTCCCAAGGGGGGGGCGGGCTGACATCGCGCTGCTTTGCCCGCCTCTCCTCTTCTGCCGGAGCCGTGCTTCCAGCTGAGAGAAACAAAAACCGAAAGCGAAAACGCTGCAGCTCCCAATGCGCGGATATTCCCATGATATGTAGAGCGTGTGGGAAAGGGTGTAGGTAGAGTACGTTTTCCAGTACCTGCCTTAGTTGGTGAGGGAGAAGGCTGTGAATCACTGACAGTTCTCGGTTCCGTATGGGACGAGAGGGTGCATATGGAAGCAGAGAGCTTTACATCTGGAAATGGCACGCGGCGTCCCTGCTGCAAAAGGAGAATCGGGGGCTTCTGGCGGCCGTGCTGCCTGGGAATGGGGCCGGCCCGCGGTTTCGAGCGGCTGTCGGGGAAGATCGCGGGCATTAATGGCACGCGGACCCTAGGTGGCGTGAGGTTGTGATGTACAGCCTGCAGTGACTCCGTGTTCTGCTGAGCGAGCGGGAGGATAACATCCTTCCCAGCTCTTAGGAAATCACTGGCTCTGGGAGGGGTCAGCCCTGGTATGTAAAGGCCAGTCACATGCCTTCAGAACTGAAAAAAGAAAAGAAAAAAAAGAGAGAGAGAGAGAGATTAAAGGCTTGCGGGCTGCTAGTTCCTATGGGCTCCTCTGCATCCGGATACTTCATCCCTACCAGCTGCTGGCCATGGCTGAATGCAGTAAGTGTTTGCGCAAGCTTGCAGGACTGAGCGTGCTCCCCTGGCAGGGGCCGGTGTTGCTGCCCTGGGCTACAGCTGGCCAGGGGAACCTGTGCAGCCCTTTGCAGAAGCAGTCCTTTCCCAGCAGAGCTTCTTTGCCCTTTGCATCTGGCTCAGATGTGAGGAGAATGGGATCCTCAAGAAAGATGTGTGTGCGTTTTGTGTTCTTTTGGGAATGACTCCATCTCCTGTCATTTTTGTGGGGTTTAATCTCTTTCTTAATTGTGTATGAGACATTTCAATGGGGAAAAACAAATTTCTGCTCTTGAGATAGGTTTAAGTCTCCCCAGCTGGCAGGGACTGAGAGTGTATGTGAGGTTCTGGACCTGGAAATAGCCTTCATCTTGTTAGAACAGTATGGCACAGCATGCAGTGGCAATAAGATCGTATTTGGGTGGTATTTGGTCCTCTTACCTGTGAGCTATCCCTGCAGCTGCACCTGCATGCCTGTGTAGGGCAGTGCTCCTGCATTGTGTCGGCACTGTGCTGAGATGGAAAAGGGGCCCAGGCCCAGTGCCTGGGATTTATTCTTCCTGGGAGGCAATAAAGAAGAGTATTCTCAAGATTCTTCCCAGACACTGAGCCTGAGTTTGTGTGACCCAAAATAGGTGTAATCATTCATACTTAATCAGAGTGGGAGAAAGGTTATGTATTTCTAAAACAATAAGCTATAACTCACTTTTCCCTCAGGTGTCTTTGCTATGTATGCAGTGAGCAACTGAATATCACTATGTCCCAAAGCAAGCAGTTCTCTCTATGATGATCGCTGTATTTCTTTTCTGTTTTCTGACTTTACACAGAGAATTTGTTTTAATCTTTTTTTCTGCATTCTTTGTAGCAGACTTTGCATTCCCTCTTCTCTTGTATACTACTGTCAGAACAAAAAAAGGAGAAGATCCAACTTCTGGCATTTATCCTCCTGAATTGTCTTGGAAGGTGTGGTCTCTTGGTAGGACATAGCCCAACATTTTTCCAAATCCAAGGAGAGAGAATAAAAAAATGTCTTTAGCAGCTCCAAATACTGAAACAGACAAAATATTTGCCACCTGCCATCATCTTCAAAGAATTGCTGCTGCTCAGCAATTTTTGCACGTTCTTTGTTTTTTGTTTTTCTTTCTCTAGAAATGCAAACACAATTTTAGTCTCATATGCGTTCTTTTGTAATTCAGGGGGTGGTGGTGGGAAACAAACTCCCTAAAGCAATCTGCTGGTTTTCCGAACAGATGCAGAAGAATGTTGACTGTAGTTCCCAGTGATTGTCAAGTTACTCTTAATGGATTGGACCTCTTAAGTTCTCATAGTAGTTCCCAGCTGTTTTCTTTATTCTGCATATGGATCATTTCCAGTGCTTTCCTTACTCCTCTTTACTAAACTTTGTGATAGATAAAGTCAGTTTTGAATCTACACTGAATTTACACTTCTGGCTTTCAGCTTACACCTTGCTTTTATTTTTCCAGTGGTAGCTTATATTTGATTTTCAGTGTAAATGTGAGATGCAGAACTTGCATACTTAATGGGTAAACTTTCTTCATTCATTTTATTAGCCTCTCCAGCTGCAGCCTGGTAGGACTTTTCCCTTTTGAATACTCACCCTATGACTTGGCTGTGTGTTTTCATTCAGCATGAAATCTGCCTAAGATCCCTAAGCTGTGAAGTGGCTATGTGTTGGCCTTCATGTGTGACATCACAGTGACACTGGGGACCTAGGAGGGTGGGGCTGTCAGAAAGTACCACTACTCTTTATTCACTGCTTTGGACCTATGGAGAAGGATGCAGTGAATAAGAACAGTTGCAACTTCCTCTCAAGCTGGTATTTTCTTGGTTGTGTGCTTGCTTATGAGCTGGCTCTGCTGTGATGAGTGGGTAAGTCATGCTGTGCTGGCTGCTGGCAGCACCTCACAGAAGTGGAGATTTTCATAGCTGCCTTTTTCCACCTGTTCTCACCCATTTAGAAAATTGAAGTTACTTCTCAAATCACTGCAATGACAGCACAGCAGTTGCAGTTTCAGGAATTAGGAAATGAGCTCATCTTTTTTTGTAAACATAGGATGATGCAACCCTCTGGTGGAAGTTGTTCTTTGGAAAGGGTTGAGGGGACTAATGGAAGCAGAAGTCACTCTTGAGCCTGCCTGTCAATGCATCTAAGTTGTTGTATTTCTCAGGTGCCTTTTCAAAGGTGCAGAAAATGTGCTATGCTCATTGTTACATTTTTTCTCAAACTGCAAGAAGGCCTGGAGTAAGGAGGATTTTTCTGAGAAGTGTTGCTCACTGTCGTTACAGGATAGTGAGTGTATCAAATGTGTCTGCAGCCAGACAGCAAGCACACACATACTGGAGTGCATTTTCTGTGCATGGCTGGCTGAATCCATCGG